CCTTTATATGTAATGAGCTTAAATGTCAATATATACATGTCTTGTTTCGTTAAATGATGCATTAAAAGGAAAATAGACCAAAAATTACACTTAAATTCACTTGGTATTGTTTACTTGAATCTTCCCATTGATATTTAGCACTAAAATTGATCAATCTCTTATTGGTATATGTGTATTCTGTGCGCATCGCCTCGATATTGCCTTAATTTGCAAGCATTATAAACAAAGATGGATAATTGTTATCAGAACTCAGTAGCTGAGTGGATAACGCGATGGAGTTTGAAGCGAACAGTGATAGGTCCGAGTCTCAGAGTGAACGTCAACTCAGATGCAGGTACATCCAGCTGACGAGTCCTAAATAGGACGAAACACGTGTCCTGGATTCCACTGCTAGCTACTACCCATCAATACGGAAATTACACTGTTTCCGAATGAATTTTCCAGTATTCAGCATTGCAGTAATTTGGAATTATTTTATGGTTATGCGTTAGTACATGTAGCTAGCATTTTCAGTTATTGACTTTAAAAAATCAGAAACAAACCTGTTAATTACACAATTAGAAAAGTGGGTAACACACACGCTATTCAAATACTAGTTCATTGTTTTCCTAAACTGCCGTTACTTATGAGATATAACAGGGGGGGAATAGATAGATGGTTAAATTTTATTAGAGTCCGTATCATTAGAGTTTAATTGCTCGAGGGCATTTGTATAATCGCCTTCTCTAGTCTAATGATGTTGCCTGTGTGACAAGTGACTATATTTACCAATTAACACACGGACTAATAAACATCAAGCAAGTCCTAGACGCCTACTGGTGTTCAATCTTCTAACATAATATTCAATCAAAAGACGAAAATGGAAGGTGGATTAATTCTCGTTTGTGTTTTATTCAATTATGATAACTATGAATTATCTAAGAACATAGCAACACAATTAGGGAATAACAATGTGCACGTAACTTATATATAAATGACACAAAACTGAAGTAATAGGGAAAAAATCATTTCGTGATAAATTTGTAATATTAAAAGGTATGGTAAAGATTACTAAGTCAAAAGAAAGATCAGACATATGAAAATATCAAAATACAACACTATAAGCGTCTACTAACCAATACTTCGTATGATATTCCTGCAAGATATACATTCACACTACTCATCCAATTATTTTGATATATATATATATACATACATATATATATATATATATATATATATATATATATATATATATATATATATATAGGGAGAGAGAGAGAGAGGGAGGACAAGACACACATTACAGAAATCATCAAGCTGCATCATGAGGCAAGCGCTAACTTGGAATCTTGAAAGGAAACGGAAAAGAGGAAGGCCAAAGAACGCACTGCATCTGGAATTGGAAGCAGGTATGAATATGGTGAATAGCAACTGGAAAGAATTGAAAAGGATTGCCTAGGACAGAATTGGATGAAGAATGCCGGTGGGAGGTCTATGCTCTTACATAAGGAGTAACAGGCGTAAGTAAGTAAGTAATATGACTAGATGATCGGTAGGTTGTATTAGACCTAGATTTCAAAAGAACTGATGCTTCATATTGAATTTATGTAGTATTATAGTCAGACACGATATCACTAATTAATTTTAGCCATATCTAACCTCTTTCGAACTGAAGTGTTTATAAAGTAATTACTTATTGTGCAATTGTGGTGCGTGCTACTTATATTGATATAAATAGTATATGACGCGAGTCAGGAATGTAATGTCTGGCAGCAGAAGATGGGGAAGATCAAGAAAGGAAGAGCGAGAATAGAAAGCAATTAGTATGGAAATGCAAAAACAACGAAGTTCGAGACAATTATTGAACATTTTGCAAATGAAGTATTAGAGTATGATTTTTCTATTTTATCAAGTAACTGTAATTTCGTGCTAAGCATAACTCAGTTGTACCCACCCGTGTTCAGTTCACTACACAGTAAGCAATGTTCATGTTATCTAGTGCTTATTGATAATCATATTCTACTAGTCAAGCTGACAATGACCAAGTGTTGACAAACACGAAAGTTGGTCGGTCAATGTTTTTTGTACCAGCGATTGTCATTATTACCACCATGAAAATCCTCCAGAAATAAAGTTTTACAGAACTCAAAAATATCAGTCCAGAATATTTTACTGAAAATTCTTCCATTAGTAATTGTAAATATAATTACAATTTATCTAGACCATCGTTGAAAACCTGGAAGAAGTGGACGGTCCTCAGCAATGCACATACACGATCCTGCCTCGCGAAATTCAAACCCGGGACCTATCAGTCTCGCGCGCGAACACTTAACCTCTAGACCGCTGAGCCTGAATCCAGCGGTGTTAATATCTAACTGCAACTAATTCACGAAATTGAGCGACACTTCCACCATTGTCTTCAATGAGTTACTATCTGGTTTTGTTAATTACTCACTTGTAATCTTGATCGTTTTATTAAATGTATTCATAATAATGCATGTATCCATCTACTTACTTATTTTTGTATAGTTACTCTAAAAATTGAGTCACTTTTTATTCATTGATTTTGGCTAAATACCAATTCCCCGTATACCTAATACTCATACAGATGTACATAATATACGTGTCCGAAATTGTATTCCAATATTATTAGATGAAACTATGAAATATATTGATTGATTGATTGATCATATATAATGATAAATTATGATTCAGTAATAACTACTTATGAGATCAAGTTCTGAACGTAATCTTTCTAAATGAACTGATACTAGAACAGGAAACAACTGTTTAATGGGGTAAGCTACTATATGTGAACTATGAATAATGCACTATTTCATTAATGTAACATCAAAATATCAGGCTTAATGATTACTCCATCAAATCAATTACCAAATTCTATAACTATAGTAACAGTTGGTCAATTCAAAGTAACCAACGTGCCCTAATAATCTAAGGTTACTTTTAACTGTTTTGAAATATTCCTGATTTTCTATGTATCCAGATGTGATCTCAATCAGATAAAGAATCATCATAAACTGAAAAACTTTAGATAAAAGTTTCTATTTAGGTTTATGGTTCCTATGAAATGTACATCAACGACCTTAAGCAAAATCAAATTCAAGACCTACATCTTACAACATAAATTTGCTGAAGTTGAAAAGATTGGGAATAAAATTTAGAACTATTAGTTTAAAATGTGCTATGATTACTGTTGGATTGAAAAATCTTCGGTTCATTCTCATGCAAAGTTATAGATTCACACTGTCAAATAACTTCAGATTACTGTGTAACAACTGTATTAATGCTCCTTTGATTTGAATAATTCTTCAACTGTCCATAGTAATTGGAAACACTTCCAGTTTCTACTGCAACTTACTATTCTTGGTGAGACTATGATTTATGAACGACCTTTGAGCGACGCCAGACTGACCTTGAGTGTCCATCTAATAACTAGAACCAAATGAGGGCTATAAACCTGTATGCGGAATTAGAATTATGATTTACAATTGATGATTAAGGTTATAAATTAGATTTAAGGTTTTCATCACGAACTGACATCAGCTATAATGCCAAAACTCTACTTAACCAAATAGATGAGTGAATTTCACGCCAAAATCCGAGACCTCTTTGTAAGATCCATTTTGAATGTTTTGTGTTTGTGAAAATCCCTCCATGTATACACGTGCAGTTTGTTCTTATTGATTCCTTTGGTTATACATTGTTAATGTTTTTTATTCCATTTGAGTTGTTAATATTTGTATTTTATTATAGTTTTTATTTTTCTTACGCCTTCACTAAGTTTCCACGTTTCTTCCTGAACTGCATTTATGTTGTTTTACTTGATACTTAGTCTTGGCGGCAGTCATATCGGTTTGTCCCTTCCTTTGATTGTGTTGTTTGTATCGACTGGAATCGTGTATTTTTGATTGTGAATTGAGTCACTCTTCCAGAATTGCAAACACTCTGTGTTATAAAGCAACTACATATTATCTTTTGAACGAATCTTTTCGCGGTCTATCCAGACAGGATAGAACAACATTTATTTGTTGTGATTGGTAATTTTCTCGCATCATTTATCAACTTCCTTATTTATTGTAATTTAGATTTGATTAATTGAACAATTATTGGTTGGATAGCTGGATGATCATATTTGTTTAGGTAAAGATGTACATTTAAATTTATGATGAATTATAGAACCCTGATTTTACCCAATTACCTTGTTTTGGTTTCAACCGGGCAAGGGCCCATATCTAACCCATCTAGACAGCTATTCTTCAGTTCAAACCTTAGTTTTGGATCTTACACTCTTATCATATACGTGATTAGTTCGTTCATAAATTATAATCTCACCCAGTTCTTTAATGCTTTTTTTATTCTTTCTTTATAATAACTACTTGATTTTAACTTATAAAATGTTGGGGGAAAAAAGAACTGATCAATGAGTCTTTCTCTAGGAAATGAAAAAAAACAAAAAAAGAAAAAGAAAACAAAAAAAAAGAAAACAAACAAGTAAACACTTAGTTACCACTAGTTCAAACTGTCAATATTAATCATTTAATTTTTCGATGAATAATTGAACATTTATAGATTCAATATTGTTGAAATCGAATAAATAAATTTTAAAAAATTAAAAAATAAACTAATCTGGATACAAGTTTCAAAATATTATCGTGTTGAAAAGAAAAACAAACGCAGAATAAATCATTGAACAATTGAACAAATGAATTTACTATTAGGGGTTTAAAAAAAAGAAAGAAGGAAAGAAAAGAAAGAAGAAAAGAAAAGAATAACCATGTTTGAGCATCTATAATCTCTATACAAAATATCAATTATTCTAATGGTGGTTGTTTACTTGTTTGTTTGTTCGTTTTTTTGAAAGAAAAGAAAAATAAAGAAATAATCAACCTACATGTGTGAAAGAAAAATATCTTGTAAAGATGACCTTATACTCTGTCATAGAAAAGATAGTTTCATTCAGCTTAAATATGTTTAAATGCTGATCACATTCATATATTTCAGTGTGTTGTGTCATTGTATACATCATAAGTAAATGAAGAATATACTTGTTTTGTACGAGAAGGAGATTGAACAGTTACACAAAGTGGTACTTGAGATTGTTGAACTTTGATAGGAGATGATTTACAACACAAGGTAGATGATGATGATGGTGTTATTGAAGAAGATAAATAGCTAGTATGTGTATGTATAATTGGAGATTCATGTCGACTATGTGGTTGATGTTGTTTTTGTCCTAAGTTTTCATTTGAATCCAAAGTTATTCCATCGGAACAAAGTGCTGATTGAACACAATTAATATTCTCTCCAGTAGTCTGTAAAAAATATAACAACCAAACATAAAAGCACAATAAAATTACAGTAGTTTATTATATATATAAAATATATATATATATATATATAAATGATCTATACATGATTCTCTTGTTATGTAACCATGTTTTTGGGCATCAGTTTAAGTTTAATTCATTCAATATGTTCATCTTGAAAAGAGTAAAATTTGAACTGGTTTTATTTGTTTATATTTTGACTATTACCATTATATATATTGGGTCAATCGATTTTGGAGCCTTTTTTGACATGAATTTTTATACTATTTATAAATAGTTAGTAGGCTAGTTATTTCTTGAAAGTTTATCTCAAGTATCATGATTAATTGTTGAAACTTAGTCTACCAAGTCAAAAACTGATTAATGAAATTGTTAAATGTATTATTGAGTATGTAATAATTTGAAGTGATAAATGATGACTCTGTGTAAAACGACGGGGAGCGTTTTGTAATTAAATTATATAGTTTAAAGAACACATCACAAATGAAACCACTATACTTAAGCTGTAGTATCCTACTAGAATATAATACAATTTTATTTAATATGAAGGGTTCGTAGAAATTTAATTAACAGACTGATGTTAGTTATACTACTAATGAAAAACTGAGAGCGTTAAACTCCAGTTTCCTCCTAGTTTGAGATTCCATAACAAAGTGCACTCGGATGACGGCTCAGTTATTTAGAGGTTAGGCGTTCGTGCAAGAGACAAATGGTCCGGGGCTCGATTTTCGTAAGATCGTGGATGCGTACTATTGAGGAGTCCCATACTAGAACAAAACACCCGGCCAGTACTTTCCGGTTTACAATCGAGTTCTATATATGATCATTCCATGAGTGATAGTCTTATTTGTTAAAAATAAATAAATAAAACTATTACTAAAGACAAGCTTCCATGAAAAAAATCATGTATCACTCGTTCACAACTGTTATCTTCATGAGGTTATACTGATCATTATAGATACACCGCAATCAATCAGCTGCTTCAACAGAATGGTAACTAAGCAGCTTAAAAGACGAATGATAAAAACAACTTCAAACTATCCAGCTGTCATTATGAAATAGAAAAAAATAATATTTTTGTTTGTCAGTCTCGAATTTTTTTCATTAGATCATTCCATAAAACATTATCCCTGTATGTTTGATTAAATATACTGAATACTGAAGATTCCTTTCTTTTAAACATAGTTTTCTTATACAAGAATAGTAAGTAAAGCTAGAGTGCATTGAAACATTATATACTTGTCACTGTTAATATCGATATTGTTGCCTAAACTGGTTTGTGCCTAATAGTGAAATTCAAAATCCTACGACATATGAAGAAAACAGAATAAAATTTTTGATTGAGATCATGAACCGATTGATGTTAGACCACCATTGGAAACCTGGAAGCACTGGACGGCCGTTTCGTTCTATTGTGGGACTCCTCAGCAGTGCGCATCCACGACCCCGCTCGCGGGATTCGAACCCAGGACCTTCGGTCTCGATTGCTTAACCTACTAGACCACTGAGCCGGCATCAAGTGGTGATAGTGTCTAACATCACATCTTCCATCGTACTGAGGTAGATAACTGCCTCTACCCAGCATGGATGAAATGGTAGAATTATGTTTTTAATTCATTGTGAATTTTTATTCAACGTTACTTCCATATTTTTTTTCTAATTCAATATGATAATTATTCAGTGTAATATCTGGTTATTTTTTTAGTGTGATATTTTGTTCGGTACAATACTGATTCTCAATATAGTGAAAATTCCCATTTTGATATTTGGTAGATGACGAAGGAATGAATTGAGCAGAGAAATTCCTTTTCAATAGTTGAGATCATCAGTCGATTAAAGCTAGACCACCATGGAAAATCTGGAAGCACTGGACGGCCGTTTCGTCCTATTGTGAGACTCCTTAAAACCCTTTCTGACACTAATCAACATATGCTCAAAGTGACTGGCTTTCAACATATATATCCTGGAGTTCTAGTGAGAAGCCGTGACCTGTGGAGTTCAACCGGGCCTGTTGTGAGATAAGAACTCACTGATGACAATGGTGGATGTGTCGCTCAATCTCGTGGATTAGTTGGAGTTAGACATTGACGCCGTTGGATACCGAATCAGTAGTTTAGTGGTTAAGCGCTCGCGCGCGAAACTAATAGGTCCTGGGTTCGAATCTTGCAAGGCGGGGTCGTGGATGTGCACTGCTGTGGAATCCCACAATAGGATGAAACGGCCGTCCAGTGCCTTCAGATTTGCTATGATGGTCTAGCTTCAATTGACTCATGATCTCAACTATTGAAATCACTACAATGTCCACAAAACCCCTTCTGATACTAATAAAATAATACTTATCGAGTAGATACGTTACATAATAATTATATAATCAGATATGGAATATAATTTCATAATCACAGTAATTATTCGAAAGTCAAGTAGTTGCTACGTTGCATAATATATAAAAAGGAGAAGAAACTAACAAAATATTTTGATGAATGGTCAGTAGTACAGTAATTATGTAAGAATCAAGAGACGAATGTTGGGAATAAGTAAAATACAAAAAAGCGGAAGAGATACGGAAATAGTTTATCAAGGTCCTGCTACAAACTCACCTATACCGATGACTAAGGTAACGTGAGTGATTGTACCAACTTCGTTTGGATGCAAATGTTTAGTTTGTGAATATGAATTGATTTACTCAAGTATGATGTTTATTCAAGGTAATATCATCTGCATTAATTCAGTGTAAAATTAGTTCACTATCATTTGTAGTTTGAATTTTTGTAACTATTCTATGTATTTCCCCTATTGTGAACGAATCGTCCGAGATGAGTAAAATCACTGTGTAAATGAGTGTATTTATACATATCATTTTCATTTATTTCTGACTGCCATAACAAAATAAGGGCAGGATTTCCGTCAGCACTCTTTGCTTTATCAGATTTTTATGTGGTATACTTACTTACTTAATTACGCACGTTACTCCTCGTGAAGGAGCATAGGCTGCTCACCAGCATTCTCCATCCAACCCTGTCCTGGGCAGTCCTTTCCAGCTCCTTCCAGTTGTTATTCATCCTTTTCATATCTGCTTCTATTTTCCGACGTAATGTGTTCTTTCGCCTTCCTCTTTTCCACTTCCCTTCAGGATTCCAAGTTACGGATCGCCTCATGATGTAGTTTGGTGATTTGCGTAATGTATATCCTATCCATTTCCAATATCTTTTCCTAATTTCTTCTTTAGCTGGAAGCTGGTTTGTTCTCTCCCACAGAAGGTTGTTGCTGATGGTATCTGGCCAATGGATGTTGAGTATCTTGCGTAGACAACCATTTATAAATACTTGTACCTTCTTGATGGTGATTGGTGTAGTTCTCCAAGTTTCAGCTCCGTACAATGGAACTGGTATACTGGTATACTAAATTGTAACTAATGTTGTATCTTTCGTTCATATGACAATGAATTCAAATAAACACACAAGAACCAAAATTACACTGAAACCTATTTAGCTTGATAGTATACTAGCCCAGTTAAAATTGTTGTTTCTTTTTAAGATCATCATGCCTGTCTCTCTCTCCCTCTAAATGAATGAACCAAAGATCTAGACCTTTTGATCTAATCGTGATAAGTCTTTTAACTGAACGCCTAAGTCAGTTACCTAATAACCCTAGGCTAAATTCACTGAATAACTTGAACACGAGAGAAAAGGCGTGTAATGTGAAATGAACGTTTTACTCCAAAGTTAATTTATGTACAGAAAGTCGGTGTTTACAGTACATCAAATGACTATTGGCTTCTGGAATTTTCCGGAACCACATTAAACATAGTATCAAGATAGGTAGTCATTCAATTAGAAATGTGACAACATGACTCCTTACTATCTAGTTGTTTCTGATAAACTTCTATTCAACGCTGGTTGGATAAAATACTTTCAGTATTTCAGTGCACCTTGGGAATTTTTGAAGAATACTTAGGATCCCCCCCGACACCTTTCTTTCATAACAGAAGTCTTCATCCTTGGATCTACTTACCATTTCAATCGCTGTCAATCTGTACAAAGTTCCTTACCTATTTCATGTTGACAGTTTGATGGTTTTTGATTAGAATGAATACAGTTTTCACTAAAAATTAATGTTTACCATCAAACCGGTGTAAATTTAGTTGAAAAGGTCATTACAAATAATCCAAATTGAACACTACACTACACCTAAAACTTTATATTCAGTACAAAGTTCTTGAGTTTTACTTCATCTTTTCCTCTATGAACTGTTTGTTTTTTCGGTTAAGAATCTATTGAAATAGTGAGTTTATGCGTTTACATTTACTTACTTACTTACTTACGCCTGTTACTCCCAATGAAGCATAGGCCGCTGACCAGCATTCTCCAATCCACTCTGTCCTGGGCCTTCTTTTCTAGTTCCATCCAATTCTTGTTCATTTTTCTCATATCTATCTCCATTTCCCGTCGTTATGTGTTCTTTGGTCTTCCTCTTTTCCTTTGACCTTCAGGATTCCATGTGAGGGCTTGTCTTGTGACGCAGTTGGATGCTTTCCTCAATGTGTGTCCTATCCACTTCCAGCGCTTCTTCCTGATTTCTTCCTCCACTGGGATCTGGTTTGTTCTCTCCCACAGTACGTTGTTGCTAATAGTGTCCGGCCAATGGATCTGAAGTATTTTGCGTAGACAATTGTTGATAAACACCTGTATTTTCTGGATGATGGCTTTCGTAGTTCTCCAGGTTTCTGCCCCATACAGTAGAACTGTCTTGACATTTGTATTGAAAATCCTGACCTTGGTGTTGGTTGACAGTTGCTTTGAGTTCCAGATGTTCCTCAGTTGTAAATATGCTGCTCTTGCTTTGCCGATCCGTCCCTTCACATCTGCATCAGATCCACCCTGTTCATCAATGATGCTGCGCAAATACGTAAAGGTTTTTACATCTTCCAAATCTTCTCCGTCAATTGTGATTGGATTGGTGCATTCTGTGTTGTATCGGAGAATCCTGCTTTTCCCTTTGTGTATATTGAGACCTATTGCTGCTGAGGCTGCTGCCACACTGTTCGTCTTCTCCTGCATCTGTTGTTGCGTTTGGGATAGAAGGGCCAGATCGTCTGCGAAGTCTAGATCATCCAACTGCATCTTAGATATCCATTGTATTTATTCTGAACTAAATATGATCAAAAACAACACTGGGATTGAACCGAAATCAATAGAAGTGAAAGCAATTTATATGACACTAATTGCTGTTTTAAAAAAAGGTCACATACTGATTCATCATTAATATTCATATCACAAATAACTGATATCAGAATATAACCTTTAAATGGTGCATTAAAACAAGATAAATACTGAATGGATTCATTTAATGACAAGAAACATTATTTCTTTTATGATGAGTGAGGTGAGGTTAACCATCCTTGTTTTTTTAATATTCAACACTTTCCGTTAATTTAGTAGGTGAATGTTGTAAATAACGACAGGATTTTCAGTGGGGATTTCATGTCAATCATCTGAAGCTGTCTATATAAATATTCTCTATGAAAATGCCACTAATAATAATCCATTCCAACTTCTTGAATGAAAGAGCAATTGAATTGAACAGAAAAATAACCGAAAATACTTAACGCGTCCTATAAACAAAATACGAAAAGACAGATGGGTTATAAGTCCATGGATACGTATCTTATCTTGGAAAATTACCTGACAACTAAGTTGAACTAAGTTATAAACGATTACTCATTGATATTGAATAATGTTAGAGATCTATGAAAAGATCATTGAAATTAGAAATAGTGATCTACAATTTCGGATTCATTTGGTTGAATAACACCTAAACTCTTTACAAAAACTAAATATTCAAGTTTTATTTCTAGTGTAGGGTTTGAAATATAACGTTTGTTCATTATATATTTATTTGTTGTTTTACATGCAAACCATTATTTTTAAAGGCCTACTTCTGGTTTCAAGCTCAGATAAAGGAGGAGAGTTGGATGTAAGGTCAACAACTCCATCCCGTAGAAAACAACCTTGCAACCAGAATAAACAAAGTGAGTAATTATTTGTAATGTAAGGAGATTGGATTAGTTTTTTTCAATTTTACAAGGAAATCTACTTTCTTCTATATTACATTTAACAGAATTACTTAATAGTTGAATTCATAAGTCCATCTAAGCTAGATCATCATTGAAAACTTGAATGAATTAGATAATTGTTGCTTCCAAGTATAGGACTCCTCAGAAATGCACATATACGATCCCACGTTGCTGAGGAGTCCCATACTAGGACGAAATGGCTGTCCATTGCTTCCAGGTTTTCACTGGTGGTCTAGCTTAGATCGACTCATAAATTCAATTATTAAAATTACTGCAATCTCCACAAATTCTCATTCTGAGAATTATTTAAACGAAACTAAGTGCACTATTATTTGACTTTATTGTCAATTATTAATTAATATCATAGTTCAACAAAATAGTATTGTGATGTGTGTTATTTATATTGACATAAATAGTATATAACGCAAGTCGGGAATATAATGTCTGGCAGTAGAAGATTGAGAAGATCAAGAAGGGAAGAATGAGAATAGACAACAATTGGTATGGAAGTTTAGGAACAATGAAGTCTGGGACAATTAATGAACATTTTGCAAATGAAGTATTACAGTATGATTTTTTTCTATCTCATCAAGTGACTCTGTACATTTGTGCTAAATATAATTCGGTTGTCCTCATAATTATTCTCCTTCACTACAGTATTACGTATATGTATCTATTCAAAGTTTATGTATGATAATTATCGAAATCTCCCTTTTTATCATAACACTATCAGTAATCATATAGTGCCGGATAGATTGGAAATAGTTTTCATATCTAACATATTATAACTCATTATTTACATAAATAATAGCTCCAAATGACTCATGATTTCAACTATTAAAATTACTAACATCTCCACAAAACCCCTTCTGAAAATAATCATCTGCTCATTAGTGACTGACTTCAAGAGGCACTTCATGGAGTTCCAATGAGAAGCCGTGACCAGTAGAGTTCAACCGGGTCTGTTGTGAGATATCAGGTCACTAAAAACATTGGTATACGGTGGTGCCATTTCGTGGATTAATTGAAGTTAGACGTTAACGCCGTTAGATACCGACTCAGTAGTTTAGTGGTTGATCGCTCGCACGCGAGACCGATAGGTCCTGGGTTCGAGTCTCACGGGGGGCGCGATCGTCCCATACTAGGACGAAACGGCCATCCAGTTCTCCCAGATTTCCCATGGTGGTCTAGCTTTAATTCACTCATGATTTCAACTACTGAAATAATAAATAGTAATCATAATTTGTATATATGTATATTATACATATTATTGTTTCCTTTCTAATCAATTATAAAGAATTAAAAACTAGATAAATTACAAATGATTAATTTAAGATGAATATTGACAATTTCTAAATATTTGAATTTAATATTAAGTATAATTTGAACTAAATGCTAGTTCAATTATGTAATACAGTCTTAATGGTATATAAAGAGAAAAAAAAAGTTAAACGATTTGAAACTTTGATTCAATTGTGAAATGTTTGATAATCAGAGTCATAATTAGATTGGTAGTAATAGTAATAGTAGTAGTAATAGTAGTAGTAGTAGTAGTAGTAGTAATAGTAGTAGTAGTAGTAGTAGTAGTAGTAGTAGTGATGGTTGTAGTGATAGTAGTAGTGGTAGTGATATTAACAGTGATAATGATAGTAGTAGTAGTCATAGTAATAGCAGTAATGGTAGTATCAATAGTAGTATAGATAGTAGTAATAGTAGTAGTATGTATGATTTAAAATAATCTAAATTATAGATAAGTTTTATACAAATTCATACATATGAATACATAGAATATTCATTGTCACAATGAACTAACATTAAAACTTAAAAAATAAAAATTAAAAACAAAAAAAAGGAACATTTCAATTCATTATATAATAGATGTTATGGAATCTGTTAATGGTTTAATTATCTCCTCTGTCTCATTAGAATTACATAAATGATTGTTTCTAGGAGAATGATCTTTATTCATCCAATGATTAGAATTCATGAATTTAAATTTTTTTAAATTTTCTAATATACTTATCTGTTGATAATCAGTAGTATCCATGGTATCATTATAAGTAGTATAATCATGATTATGATTATGTTTAATTGATTCATTTAAATCTTGTTTATTGATTGGATTATTTTCATTTAGATTAGATTCATCTAATTTCATTGTATTCCATTGTGATTTCCATATATGATTTAATGTATTTAATACATTGAAACTTGTCCATTTTGTCCAATCAGTTGTTAATGGTGTTGATTGTGACGTTAATTCTTTACTATTAATTTTACCACTACTATTATTACTATTACCGCTACTACTGTTATCATTATTATTAGTAGTATTATTATTATTATTAACAACAGTACAATTATCTCCGTCAATTGGTTTTATCAAATTACATTGTTTCTTATCATTATTGAATGGATTAAATAATGATCCATTTAAATGTAAAGTATTTTTTAAAAATTGTTGATATGATTGTAATAAAAGTGAAGAATCATTGGTTAATTGATTAATGAATGGATTATTTATTGAATATGGATCATTTCCATGATTATTATTATTATCTACATTGATTGTGGATACATTAAAAGTATCTTGTGGAAGATTTAAATTAGAATGTGCTTGATTTAATTTATTATTAATTAATGGATAAAGATTATGTAATAATGATGATAATTGTGATGATGTACATGATGAGGATGAGGAGGGTAAGGAGCAGGGGAAGCAGGAGGATGATAACGATGATAAAGATGATGATGATGATATAGATGGTTTAAAATATTCTATATTTTGATGATCTAATTGATTCATATTAGATTCATATAAAATTTGATTAAAATAGGCTATAAAAGTATTTTCAATAAATTTTTGGTTCCATAATAATGATAATCTATTTGGATCAATGAATTGATTATCGTTAGATTGTGATGATGAAAGAATAGTTGGTTTACTTATATCTAAAATGGATTGAAATGATTGATTTTTATAATCTTGTTCAGCATTTATTGTACTAATTAATTGAGTTCCTTGATTAGTATAATGTGAATTTATTGATTTAGAAGTATATTGTATTGATGAATTAAGTATATTGGATATTGTTGGTATTGGTAATATTGATGGTTTAGTTGTTGTTGTAGTGGTGGTGGTTGATGCTGTTGCTGTTGTTGTTGTTAGTTTAGATGTAAATACTGATCCAGTTGATATTTTACATAAATTAGAATCACTATTTATTGATTTATATTGATCAATATCATGTAAAAAGCCTTTTTTAGACATTTGTTTACATGGATGATTTGCATTTCCATGGACTATTTGTGTTGATGCTGTTGATGGTTGTAAACTAAATATATGTGGTGGTATACCAGTAACCATTGAACCTGCTACAGCTTGTTGTGCTAGTAATGTTTCCATAGATTCTCTAAAAGAAATACAAAAAGAGTTTGTGTATAAGGGAGAGAGAATGAGAGAGATGAAATAGGTTAACTAAAATATATAATTTTTAATGGATACTATCAACTTGTTTCACTATTTAATTCATCATTTTATCTCTAGAAAGAATAAAGAAATTTGCATAGGTATAAAATCATGTGGTAAATTAAATTTTAATTACCAAAAAAACAATTCAACGGGTGACTTAACATATTCTTGATAGTTGTAAGCTAGTTCCCACTCGTTAGAAATATATACATATATACAGTCTTATAGAAACTGAGGTGTCTACGTTAATCGAACCTTTATCACGGTCAAACAGAAATTACCCCACTGAAATGAGTCGAACGCGACTGATTTCCAGCTGAATTAAGATATTTATCATGGATTTATCAATGAGCACTTTAAATAGTTAGACACTTCATATACTCGGAGATTCAGGTACATCTAGCTGACAAGTCTCAAATAGGACGAAACGTGCATCAAAATGGATTCCACTGCTAGCCACTATCCATCTTTGTTTATAATGCTTGTGAATTAAGATAATATCGAGGCCATCCTCATAGTATTCACATATGTCAATAAGAGACTAATCAATTGTAGCGCTAAATATCAATGGAAAGTTTCAAGTAAACAATACCAGATGAATTCGATATTTTTTAATGTTACTGGTTGCCGTGTTTTCCTCCTCTCTGTATCAGAAGTTTATATTTTATTGTTATCGGAAGTGCATATATATATAAATATCTTGGAAACCTTACTCGACTAAATACCCCATGAATTTAGGGTGATAATGGTTTTTTTTCAGTAATTCAAGCTACTTATGAGTAGATTGAATCGTTTTTAAAAATTTAAAGGTCAACTGAAATTTTTGCCATGACATAAAGAACTTTCGAAAATCAGGAAACAATGAATACATGCTATGAAACTCATCAGCAGTGAATATTTAGAAAACTGTAATTGATTAGATCTAGAACCTTCATGCTTCGTAATTAGTATCTTTCCTTAAGATCATTGAATTAAAATTCAATGGTTCACATATTTTACAACTGAAGTTCTTGTCGGTTTATCAATAATCAAAAGTGATCAACTTTCCAGCCTCCTTAGTGTGAATTTTCTCTCTATGATTAGGATTATTAGCGCGGTTTACATTTTCCAGACACCTTGAAAATGGAACGTGGTGTATCCATTCTCGTGGCCTATGTCATAAAAAACATTACTGTAGATCGTTTGTTTAGAATAGAACTATGCCTTTAAACAACATATATAACTTCTTAGCGAAATAGGACATTTTTTCATCATTTTAAATGAGTAATATTAATAAAACTGCTTGTTTTTATAATCAGAGTTGAACACTTTTAGCTATGTAAACTATTCGACTGTTTATAGTTGAAATATTTTTCTTTTGAAAATTGGTCATTTTATATGTACCTAGATGACCAACGAACTTTAAAAAGAACTCTGAAGTTCCTGGTGAGTATCTGTAACCAGCCGAATCTAGTCCGGTATAGATTGAGTTGAATATCACTGTTGGTACTAAATGATAGTTCAAGAATTAGAAACCGAACTGAAATAATTATATAACTGATTAATGATTTACACTGATTATCCAACTAAACCCAATCAGTTTTTGATAAACTATCTTTGAACTAAATAATTATCAACTTGGTAGTAAACACAATGCTTTTTAACTATCAAGTTTCAACCCAGTGATTCATATTTCCAGAAAGCACTAGACAATTGTTCCTCTCTGGTCTAAGATTTTTCAGCAGTGTATATCCACGACCCCGCATGTGGGACTCGAACTAACGATCTTCACTTTCGTGCATAAGCGCCCAACCTTTAGACTAACAACTGATTTTTTCTAGTTCGAAAGTAATTTTTCTCACTATAACCTGTTATCGAAATCAGGAGAAATTGACATCAGTATTTCATCATAGTTAGAGACTACTTCCTACTAGTAAATAATAACAATACTCTTTTCATCAGTGGGTAATTTCAATATGGATTACATATAGTTCTGTTGATTCTAATGATGATTAGAGATGATGACCTATATGAAGTTAATCATATCGACGCTAAGATATTTAGGTAAAAGTGAAATCGAACAATAATATTCAACAAACAACAGTTTATGATTTAAACTATCAAAATTCTACAATCTTCACAAAACCCTACACTAATAAAAATCAATTTAGTTCATAAATTTGTTATCATAAAAGTAATAAGTATCTAACGAATTTGTGCAGTAAAACAAAAAGTGATTGAACTAGAAAAGAGTTATGCATCATTATCATTTACGTGTAGCTTCTGTAATCCCAATTAGGATTTGCACAAACTGATACACGAATACACACACGCAAACACACACATACATAGTGTAGTCATAAACAAAACTATTACTAATTAATGGTAAACTAATAAATTTACCATGTAATAACTAAAACAAATTACAATTATTCGAAATACATTCATGATGTTAGATAGAACAAACCAGATCCTAGAGGAGGAAGAAATCAGGAAGAAGCGCTGGAAGGGGATAAGACACACATTGAGGAAAGAACCCAACTGCATCACAAAGTAAGCCCTCATATGGAATCCTGAAGGCCAAAGGAAAAGAGGAAGATCAAAGAACATAGTACGCTGAGAAAAATGAACAAAAATTGGATAGAACTGGAAAGGAAGGCTCTGGACAGAGTGGATTGAAGAATACTGGTCGGCGTTCTATGCTCCATTGGAGTAACAGGCGTAAGTAAGTAAGTTAGTAAGTTAGATAGTTGGAAAAGGAAAGACAAATGTTAAAGGTAAATAGTTTACTAATAAATTATCTTAATCTATACGTTATATCCGTTATAGATTGATCTCAGTTGGAGAATCATTGAAAATCAGGGAAGCGGTGCTCATCTATTTCATTTTAGTATAGGACTCACTAGCAATATATACTCATGATCTCGACAGAGATCGAAGTCAAAAGCTTTAGGTTTCATAGTAAACACAATCATTAGAATTATTTGGTTAGAATTCAATGATACCATTTCAACTTCAATCAGTTTACAATATTTCGTATGATAACCATCCATCCCATGTCAGTGATGAAAAGTATTATTACATAATTGTAGAATTTCTTGTCTGTTATTTTTATAACTCTGGGAAAATTATACAAGGATACAGTAAATATTATTTGATGCTTTTGTAATCAATATTTTATGACTACAGATGATTGCTGGAAAGTGTTAAACAACCATTGAAAATCAAGGAAGCACTTGATAGCCTCTAAAACTAGCTCTACATTGTTCTTTGGTTTTTTAATGGTTATTTAACTAATCTGTGGTGTAAACTATGAAAATCAGTAGTTTATCTATTAAAAAAACCGAAACTATTAAGGGAATAATGTTTGTCATATAAAATCCCATTCATTGTCTTTCACTTTTAGTCAAAGAGATAAACTAAAGGATATTGGGACTAGATACAGAAATATATAATGTAAACAAACCTTCCCTACCCAACTTGATTTGGATTTCTTACAGCCACACAATAATTATAAAAATGTATCAAACTATTCTGTTAACTAAATGTCACATAATCAATTAAGTAGTAAAGAAGAGAAATAAACTACAGTTAACATCATCATCATCATCATCATCACCAATATATCCAACTTAATGAACGTTTACATTTCATTGTAGAAGTGAATAGTGTAAACAAATACAGTTTGTCAATGAATGTATTTACATTATCAATACACAAAAGTATTTACAATAACCGATACAGGTGTACACTTCAATATGTACTGTGTGTGTTTATTGTCTATCAATGAATAGATTAGCTATAAGTTTAAAGGAAAAAAATTTTTCTGTTTAGTAACAAGTAGAAGAAAGAAATAGGAAAACAGTATCTAATTGTTATTTTCAAAAGTTGGAGACAATGTCATTAATATTTTTACTAAAAAATTTGATTCTTCCTCATCTCTTAGATTTCATTCACTTTCTATGGTATGAAGAAGATGAATAATGATGAAAACAAATCATCTATATCACACTACACCGCACCACACTATCCTATATACTCGTCCTTTTCACTCTTTAAATCTAGACATTATTATACACAAAAAAACAAACATGTTCATTAAGATTGAATAGGAATGTCATAAATTGTCGCCAAACTACTTCACTTCCCATTACCTTTTAGTTGCTAAATATTATAAACATGTATGTGATATTCTGCTAGTATAGATTGTCACCTTTATTAATGAATATCACTATATACATTGTATAATCTGATGAATAAATATAAACGATTCAACAACTTAGAACTGACTTATAAGCATAATGTTTTATTTTTGGACTATGACAGTATAAAGAAAAGAAAGAGAGAAAGAGAGACTACTGTACGCCAAACTTAAGATTGATATGAATAGAAAACAATTTCATAGACTAATAGACATGGAATAGTTACTATCAGATTGTAATAGTAGAAAGTCTAAAAAGAATTCTTGATAACTTAGTTATTATTTATTTCATGGTTCATTAGTATTTCATAATCTTCCTACCCCTACCCCCGCCCGCTTCCCTTCTTCTTCTTCTTCTTCTCTGTCACTTTTCTCATTTCTTTGATCTAAATATTGTCGACAATTTATTAACCAGTATAGGAGTTGTGGAGATTATTAAGTTTTTGATTGAGATCATGAACCGATTGATGTTAGACCATCACAACTGAAAACCTGGACGGCCGTTTCGTCCTGTTGTGGGGCTCCTCAGCAGTGCGCATCCACGATCCCGCGAGCGAGATTCGAACCCAGGGCCTTCGGTCTCGCGCGCGGACGCTTAATCAACTGGACCGCTGAGCCGGCATCCAGTGGTGATAGTTTCTAACATCAACCAATCCACGAAATTGCACGACCAACCTCAGTACAACGGGTTCGAATCCCGCTCTCGGGATCGTGGATGCGCACTTCTGAGGAGTCCCACAATAGGACGAAACGGCCGTCCA